AAAAAGCTTGAGACCTTTGTCGCGAACACGCATCTGCTGTGACTCACAATTTCGGCGCAGTGCCAGGCAAGATTGTGTCTCTTTTGTTTCCTGGCAGCACGTAATCTCTGGCGCTCAATGTGCTGCCTGAAACTGGACGGCCTGCTACAGCTTGCAATAAGTGAGCGATCAATATCCCGCAGGAACCAAAGCTTAGTTCCTGCCTTCTCTTGCAGAAGCAACGCTGCCATAGCGTTCCCCACCATCTCGCCATTCAGGGTGACCTGCAAGGGTGTGAGGAGCATGTCTCAAATCAAGCTAGCACCTGCAAAAAATCCACGGTCGTACCTGCAGCATGCCAGCTGGACCCTCATGGCCAACGTCGATTCTTGAGCCTGACCTTCCGGTGATGTGTTGCCGAATGTGACAGGACAAGACTGCCCATGTAGGCTTTGACAAATTCACATCACGGCCACCTCTGAGCGACTTCGCTCATCAGACCCCGAGGAGCCAATACATTGAGTACCTGTCAATCCGCTACATTGAAGGTTGTTGTTTTAGGTGATGAGATTGCAGGGCTGACAGTCTGCTAGACAAATTACTAACCTTCAGCCAGCAGCCGCAGAGGCAAAACAAGGCCATTTTTGAAACAACAAATGACTTACACCAGGCCCTGTCTATGGGTACAAGCCTGAAAATGGTCAATTCCAGTCTACTTCTTGCGACAACGAACACATCCGTAAAGCAGGCTGACGAGAATCACAACCACCAATAACGAGAGCAGTCGTGGCGTGATAGGCAACAAGAACGACTACGACGACAACTGTTGGCTCGCAGCGCTTGTGCCATGAGGATGATGACGGCTGCAGTGGAGAGAACATATGCAGCAACGACATCCACAGCCACAAGGTCAAGGCCAGAAGTCGGCACCCAGTACATACTGCTGCGTGCCCTGCTTTGGCGGCATGTCCAAGAAACCTTCTCGTACTGCGGGCCAAAGAGTGCCGAGCTCCCTAACGTACAACAACATCAACCAGCCTGCCTACTTTTCCGAAACAAGGCATGAACAACTGCTTCCATTTGAACCATCTTGCAACCAATCGTCAAAAGAAACCAGGTAGCGCAATGGTTTTCATACGAAATGAAGAAGACGTGATTTACTGAAGAAACAACAAGAACAAGAGAGCTCCTGTTTGGCTGAACGAAAACACATCGTCTGTTTCCTGCATTCCCTTCTTTCTGCTCCGCTGGGCTAGTGCTCTTCTTTCTCCTGCCCCTTCCCCTGCTTTGCAGAGCTTTTGTTTGCCAACATTCGCGCTCTTTCCTGGCCCTCTGGGCTGGCGCTTTGACTTCTCCTCCTCTTCCCCATGCTTGTTGTGGCTGCTCGCCACCCTTGGCGCCTATTTCCTTGCCTACTTTGCTAGCGCTGCTCACTTTCCCCAATTGTACCGTTGGCTGTCATTTCCTTGTCATGTTTTGCCATTTTTTGTAATTATATTCTGCTCTAGTGTTTATGCTTGCTGTCTATGTTCACGTGAGCAGCTGTTCTGTATGAAATTCTACGAGTGATCTGCTTTCTGTTTCAGCTGCTTTCTTACGTTGATTTGGTTCCACATCACACTGGCTGGCTTCCTGCCGGCTACCACCTTTTACTTATTGAAAGCCTGTCTGCTCGTCATATTCTGGACCCTTCCTAAGCTTCGTGTCTTTCAGGTGTCACGTTGGTAGTGCTGCTGTCAACGTGACACCTGAATGACACGATTCTTAGGAAGAGCCCCGAGAATGCAACAAATCGGACAACATTACATTCGGGCTTGGGCGCTTCGGTTGGAAGAACGACTGTAAGATTACAAAACTCACAAGACATGACAGAAGATGACAAGCGGGAGCTCCCCTGCTGCCGGGGCTGGGTGAGCCCCCGAGACGCGACTACCTCATGCACCCATTCTTTTACAGACAGCTTTATTATTTTGGATTCTGGGTGTCATTTTGGAATCTAGTATCTTCTTCGAGGCATGCTCTGGAGGATCCCTAATTGCCTTGGCTACCTCTGCGCCGCCTTGGAAGACCTCCAACCTTGTATCATACACAGGTGGAAAGCTGCTGCTCTCTGATGAATTAAATGATTTCTCTTGCTCCACATTGCCGGCAACCAAAATCATGACAACTTACTACACACAGAACCTTTGATGTGAGCATGGCAGTAAGCAGGTCATGACATGCTAAATTGGATGACCACAGCAAGAGAGACCCGCACTGAAAGAAAATGATGAAATGAAGAAGACATGACAGAAACATGACAGTTGCGAAACACATGCAAATGACAACAACATGGCAATGTTCAGCAAAATTACCATAGGCAATAACAATAACATGACAAACAAATGACAATAATATACAATGATAATGACTTTGGACCTTCCCAGAGTCTACAGCAAAACATCATCTAACGTTACATGACTACACATGCAAATAGGGGTCTGACACTCTAGCTTCATCCTCCACTGTCCTTCATGCTTCTTTCAATTCCGTTGGCCTATTGTTTTGGGCGTGCCCGGGTTGATTTCGCGCCATGTGACCCTGAAGGTACAGGTCAATCGCAGATCAAACTGCGAGGTGATTAATGTGTCAGCTGCTCATGTACATCTTACGTCACTGGGCGACTCAGGTCCTTTCTCTTCATCATCTCCCTGCTGTGTTCCTCCCTTCATCTCCTTCTTCCCTGCCCCTCCTCGCTTTCCTCCTGCATGCTCCATCCTCCTTCCTTCTTTCTCCTCCTCTCCTGCTCCTTACATCTTCATCTTTTCTCTATCTGCTTCCCCCCCGCTCTCTCCTCCCTCCTCGCCGTCCTCCTCGTTTTTCTGCTGCTCCTGCCCCCTCCCTCTGCTCCTTCCTTTCCGGTCCTCTCTTCATGTCTTCTCCTCTATCGTATCCCTGGCGCTGCCGTCCCTCCTACTCCTTTTTTTCTGCACCCCTCCGGCCTCCTTGCTCCATTATGCTCCGCTCCTTGCTTCGGCATGCGCCATCCTCGTTGTCCTTCTCCTCCTCGCTTCATAATGCTCCATGGACCTCCTTGTCTTGTCCCGTTTCGCCCTTTTTTGTCCATGTCATCTCTGGCCTTGCCTCTACTCCCTCCATCATTCCCCTCGGACCCTGAACGATGACGGTAGCACGGATCGTGATCGTGACGCGCGCGATCTGTGTGACCGTTGACGCTTTTGTCACGCAACCTTTCATGGGCAAAAAAGAAGATAACTACAAGAATCACTGCACGGACTCTTTGCACCTTGGACACTTGACTGAAGAAAATGCCCTGATCCTTGTGTCTGTTTGCACGCTCTCGGGCTTCTGACACGCGACGAAGGCGAAGCGACAGTTGCGAGGAGCATGGTACGCTTGATCCCTGTGACCGTCGGCACTTTCGGACACATGAGCACACAACCACCCAGACGCAGGGGTTTTCGCAGCTGACATCAAAGAACAGCTGCTAGTACAACGCATGCCGTCAAGGGACGATGTCCCTTGGCAGAAGAATCGTGAGCTGCGCTGAATTGATTCCAGATGCCTGGCACAAACACAGAGGCAAGGTGGCAAGTGCTCCGCAGCAATGCAATTCGGCACAAGGCCCACAAATCCCTACTGCACTTCGCGCCTGCAGTGCGGCGAGAAAGGCTTGTTCACTGCCACCATTCGTTTTATCCCCTGGCAACATCGGTAACCACAACAAATCTGACTTGAGGGTGCTGCTATTCCAGTGGTTAATGATCGTTCAAAGCAATCTAATTTCGCTCCATTGTGCTTCCAGTCTCCCAACATCCAGCAACGATGCTAAGGGCACCCGAAACTATTAGTATTATGCTGCAGTGTGCTAGCTTGCAGCTTGTTAGAGTCGCTCTTGGGTGGACCCGCCTGACAAACCCGCGCCAAAGCCTTTGAAGCCAGCTAGGCCAATGTTCGCGGCGTGGGCGCTGTTGCTAGGCTGCGTTGTGGCCTCAACCTTCGCCGGAGTTGGCGGTGGCGGCGAAGCTCGCAAATGCAAAGCAGCTGGCTCTGCTGCTGTCTGCGCTGGCATGTGCCCAACGTCAATAGGCCGCTCTCCACCTGGCGTGCGCAAACTATCTCAAACAGTTTCTGCTGTCATATGGATGAAACTCAGCACTTGGGTGCCCACCCACCCTATGTCCCTTGTCTTAGCGCCCTCACAAGATTCTATAAATCAGCTGTGTCCTTGAGTCTCATGTCCTGGAATCGCCTGCAGATATGAGCTTCGTCGTTGAAGTTAATTAATTGGAAAATGTCTCTGTGCTATTGTGTGGGCTTGCCCATCTTCAATTTCGAGGCGCGAGGACTGAATAAAAACTTGACTCGATATTAAGTCTTCTTGAGAACAAGTTCCCTGCAATGGAGTGTAGACCTGCAACATCCTGCAACTGTTGAGCCCTAGAAAAGGAAAAAGCAGCACAGAAGACGTTTCGCTGCAAAGAATGAAGTCCTACAGCGTCCTCCTGCGCGGCCTGCCCCCCTCTGCGCATAACAGCAACTAATTATAGAGGCAAATGACGCGAACTAACAAAAAACCTCAAATTGTGGCAGCACTGGGAGTTCTCGAAAGTCTACAGGACTGGTAGCAAACAAAGCAAGAGTCCACATGGCATCACATGGCTCTATCATGCGAAGCCAAGAGCCGCAACATCACGCAACAACTCTCGGAAGCGCATGTGTGCTTTTGCCTGCAGAATTCTTTGCAGCTGACAGCTGATCGACGCGAGTGTAGGGCCAAGTCTCTAGTGCAAAAGACATGTTGACGGTTAGCCAGACTCTCTCAAAGCCTCTGGAACGCAGTGGCTAGAAAACACCTCGCCTATCGCATGCCTAGGGCAACATCTGCCAAGCTGGTCGTCTGAATGGGCAACAACTTAGGTTTGCCAGATTGCATATTGGCATGCAACAATCCAGCGCCACCAATGCGTCAGACGTACAGTACGAGCAATCGAGAAATCATGCAAAGAAGGCTTTAAGCTTCAGGAGACTTCTCGCATGGTCTTGCTAAAGCATGAAATGCGGGACTCACAAGTCTGATGGTAGCCCCGAGCTGGCTTGAATCCTCGCTTAAGTTGCATGCTAACGGCATCGGCAGGAAGCCAGGCCAAGTCAGCGGTTGCACATGAGCCGCCTGTGTCATTCCCCGGCTGGTAGCTGAAGTCTTTGTGGAGGTCCAACTTGCCACGGTCCACCATATCCTTCAAAGATCTAAGTGTCGGTAGGCAGAAAGCGAGTCACATGGAAGCCGATTTGACGTGGAAAGATTGAGCGGCACAAACGAGTGTACATGTGCACGCACATGCCAAAAAACCGGCCTATATTCGCCTCGGCCTCTGGCCAGGATTTAGCCTTTTCCTCCTCTCCTACGCTCCCCACTTTTGGTTCCAATGCTTTGTCTTGACGCAAAACCCTTTTGCGTGCTTTTTCGTGGGCCAGGAATAGAACTGGCTTTTGATTTCTAAGTTGAGTTAAATTCAATTTTAAACCAAATTTCAGGAACTTCAGATTCAGATATCTGGTCAATTGAAACCGATTCTACCATCATCCTGCGGAAATCCCTGCAAGTGATTTAAAACTGATGTCAATCCGCCACTTTCCCATTCCTCAAGCTTCCTGAGACTTGAAATCGATGGCAAGCGCTTTCAATGTTAGGTGGGTCTTAATAGATCTAACCTTAAGCTGATATTTCATGGTAAATGCTTGCAATCGATTCCAAATTTTCCTCATGGAATAGCTTTTTTAATCTGGTCAGAAGCAGATTTAAGCCTATATTCCATGGTAAACACTTGCAATGGCTTTTGGGCCTTCCTGATACAAGAGCTTGTAGCGGAGAGATCCACTTTCTTGGGGAAAACCCAAGCCTATCAATTCGAATGCATGTTATCGTGGCAAAGACTGGAAGTCCCAAGTCAAATGAGCCGTGGCCAAAACCCTTTGAACCTTCTGTTCTCGTATCAATCACTATCGCGGAACCATACATTTTGCTGACGCGGTCCCAGCGCCAGCACATCGCGAGCTCTTGCTGCTCTTTTGCACTGACGCGAGCTATCGCGAATGAGATATGAATGAAAACGCCAGGTTCTACTGACGCGCGCACAACTTTTACTGACGGGCGCGCCTTGCCAGCTTCGCGCAGAGGCTTCTTACTAAGCTGAAATTGCGAGCGGTCGCGGGCAATGTGCCTGCAAAATGCCGACGCGCACTGACGCATGCACCAGTTTTTGCAACATCCAGAATCGATATGAGAACCCTCTGGCCGCCGCTCAAATGGGTTCAGGGCTCAGAGACTGCAAGACTTGTTTGAGCATCACACAAATGCGGGCCCTTTTTGGGGCGCAGTTCAGATATTTGCGATGGAACTGAAAGAAACAGTTACACATTCGACATAGCAACTCCCTTGGCTTGCACTCCTTGACAAGTGATTATAAGCGATCTTCAACAGGCATTTTTGGCTTGACAGCTCAGCAACCATGAGTGCCTTGGTTGGAGAAGCTGAGCTGGCTGGGGTGCAAGCGGCTCTAGCTGACGAAGATGCGTCCCCCGCACAAGAAAGAGGAGGTTGCAAACCGGAGGATTGGACAAGCACTGGTTTTGAACGAGAGTCTCAGAGCAGCTGCGCAACGACAGTTGAAGCAACCCTTCATTCTCCATTGGATCCTGACAGTTTCCAGGACGCAGGTGTTCCACCAACGGACAAGCAAGCAGTTCCGCTAGAGAGAAACATGGGGTGGTTGCCACGAAAACAATAGAGAGCATGCGGAAGACTCGAAATAGATTTTCAGTTCCTCCGTGTGCCTGGACATGCTGCCTACGAGGGTCTTGAAATCGATTTCAAGTGAAGCCTCTGGCTCTATGCAACACCCACTCTGCGCAGGATTTAAACTCGATTAAGTCAAAGCTGATGTCAAAATCCAGATGCATCCCATGGCCCAGTGTCCTTTAGTTTTTATATCTTGTGCATCTTTGCCTCCACGAGCCTTCCACTTCCGCAAGGAAACCTCAAACTCCAAACCCATCGCTGCTGCTGTATAACATCTTAAGCAGGGCTGTTGTTGCGCAAGGTGATTCCGATCACGCTTCTTTACAGAGAGGCTATAATCCATACAAACCTTCGGCGGCCACAGTCCTGTCCAAATACTTGTGGTCAACTTCAAATCTTGTGTTGCCAACTCACAAGCATGGGATACACACCAGTGGGCTAGACCTATCAATGTGCTTTCGCCGTTTGCTGGGGTGCTCACGGCATGCTGTGAACTCATTGCTCAGCCTGCCTGACTTCAAAACCTTGAGTCCAGATCTCAAGGTCAGGCCACTTGGAATTTACCCCACATTATCTAATTATTAACTGCTGCCGGTCATGCTGATGGATGCTGGCTCTAGCGGGCATCAGGAGCATGGGCAAGACACATGGGAATTTTTCTGAATGCAAGGGCCTGACGCCTCTGAGAACAATACCTTTCTTGACAACATCAGCAGTCAGAACGCCACCGCGATGACTTGGACAAGAACAGGACGCATGCCAACAACCTCATGGGATAGAAGCCAGAGATGGAGATGAAATCGCCAGCTCAACCCCCATTTTCAGCTACCCATAGGCAACCCTTCCAACTCCTCACAAGTAGTACTGCAAAAATGTTTCTCATGGTTTGATTGCTGAATGTCACTCATCCAGGATCATGTAGGATACAGGTACAGGCGATTTTGAACTGCCGGCAGCATTGGCTCAGCGCCACAAATCTCTGCGTGCATCCTGATCTCCATGCACAAATTCAATGGTGTGCCTATCCTGGAGCACGCTATTGATGCCAGACACGGCGGCAACCACCTGCTGCATCAAAGCGATGTGTTGGACGGACCTCAAGACAAGCAAGGTGATGGACATGTCGCTTGCCTGTTCGACGGTGCCGTTTACGCTGATCGGTTGGTCCGGCATACCGATAATTGCCTAAAGAGATGCTTCATGCAAGCTTGCCACTGAAAAGAAAAGCGTCCCAACCTCACGTCCCACATTGATCTCGGCACCTGCAAAGGACGCTGCTGCCGAGGCATGGCTTGATGCGAAGCTTTGGAGCTTTGCCTGACTGCTCCATGATTGCTTTGATCTGCGCTCCCTTGGAGCCAATGACGACCTTAGGCTGCTGAACTTGTGTTTGTGCACCGATGCTGAGACTGTATCGCGCTGGTCGTCTTGCATAGTTCCCCGCCGGCGCCGAAACCTGTGGAATGATAATGACGAAAACTCCCGGTTCCATTTCTTCTACCTCAGCACAGAGACAAGTACAGAGGCGAAACAAATACTGTTGCCAAAACCTCTTAGACCAATACTCCTTGCATCTGTCGCAATTTCCGCACCACCTGCTTGCATGCGGGTGCAGCATAATGGTCCGGATTGATGAGTGGAATGACATCGTGCAATTGGGACCTCCCTGCATGCCAGGTCCTTGGAACTCCGAGAACCTCAGACAATATCTGCATTTTCGACCTTTGCATACACGTCAACTACGGGGCTGACAAATATGGCCAAACGAACGTTGAGGTTTTGACCACCTATCGTCACAATCTTGTCCGCCAGTGTCTTCGGAGTGTCACCCTCCTAGAAAGCAGCGGAGGTTGCATCTGAAACTTCCAAGGGCAAGCCCACCTTTGATATAGACAAAGACGCACCAGACATGTCACCCATCTGCCTCAGCGACGCTTCCGCAAAAACATGTATAAGCCTGAGGCATCGCAATGAGAGCATGACCGGATTGTTGCACCACCCTTTCCAATGAGGAAGGACCTGAATGAGGAATATTACTCTGCTTGTCCAAATGTGTGCACTCCTAGCAGCTGAGTTTTGTGCACAGCATCTTGTGGGACCAGGCATCTGTACGGAACCTCCGCAGAAAAACAAGAAACTGTAAGTTCCAAAAACGCTTGGTAGCTCACCGATGCCTTCGCAGGCATTTAAGTATGTCCCAACCAGCCCAGAAAAATACAGCTCGCCTGGCCATACCACCCAACAGATTTACATCATTTCGCAGGGCCAGGTCCATGATGAGGCGGTTTACAAACTGGCTCGGGTCAAGCAATTTCCGCAAATGGTCCGTACACCTGAAAGTATATGAGCAGTAACCCTCGGTGCCGGTTGGAGCTACTAGCAGCGGCAGTAGAGAACATACCGGGCTTGAGTCTTGAGCCAGTGGCAACGGACTTACGGCCCATCCTTTTTACGCACCCTTGCCGCGCAGCAGCATGGGCAGTATAAGGCCGGGAAGTGGTCACGAAGTAGAAAAACAAGATTGTTACAAGTAGTACTCGTGACGGAGCTAATTAATCCTCTTCAGCATGTTCGCCTCGCAACCTTTGGCACGCAGTCCTCCAAATGGATCAGCCCAGGCATACGTTCTTCAGGAAGTTCCCGTCACAAACAGCTATTTCGGGTGTACAGGCGACCAAGGTTGGCCAGATTGTGGGGATTTTTGCTCTGTACGCCCCCTAGAAAACCTGCAGGTGGTCTCAGGATTATCAGGCCTGCGGCGCACGATCCATGGCAGGAAACCTTACTGTATGATGTGTAGCAACAAGAAGTGTTTCTCAAGTCCTTAGCCTGCAGAGAAAACGCTTGCATGCACTCCTGTAAAAGCATCTTGCGACATTCGGCTGAAGCAGAGCACTCACGGCCACAGAGTTGCAGAACCGGAAGTAGCTGGCAGAAAGTCATGATCCAGGCCCGCATTGGAGCATTTCCTACCCACAGCCTGAAGCGCTCTCCGTGGGTTTCTTTGGTGGGGCCCTGTAAACAGCTCATGTGTTGGGACTGCTGAGTGAGGACCTTTTTCTGCATGCCTGCAGCTTAGGTCTGGTCCCGGTCGAGCAGACTGCCCAGCTTTGCAATGTCAGAGTCGTCGAGCTCAGCCTGCTCAGCCTGCAAGTCTTCACCTTCTCGGGCCACAAAGGTGCTCGCGGTTTGGATTGAAGCACTTGGCAAAGGCACATGAGGTCGCTCAAGTTGCAAGAAATCCGTAGCAACAATATAGCGCACGCATTGCAGGATTGCAGAATAATATCGCTCCACATCCGGCTGCAGCAGTCTCCTCAATAGTCCATCGCGTCGCTCGCGTTCTTCTGGTGCACGGTAGGGCTCGACTCGGGTGGCCCGTACCTGACGGGCCCTTAATGGAGCAAAGACACCACCTGCAGGCCCTTCCCCTGGTCGACCAGCCCGGTTCGCCAGCGTTGAGGGTAGCACCCACCAAGCTGTAGTGGCAATATCAGAAGCTTGGACTTGAGGCGGACTTCCAATGTGCTCATACTGGCAAGCATCTCCATGGTAGCAGAACCCGCGCTCGAAGTAGCGACAAACTCCCAATTTCCATGTGCGGCTTTCATGCCCTTGGCTATGCCCTTGGATGTGACACATGCCAAATGGGGACTCCAATGAGACGCAGTTGGCTAAAACCGATGGCAAACATAAAGACTGCGTTGGATGAACCTTTTCTTCAGTGGACTCTTCGCTGAGGTTCCACCCAACTCTTTTTCCCTTGCCTTTTCCTTTAGCTTTTCCTTTCTTACCCTTTGATTTTCCATCTCCCTTGCCATCCTTGCCTTTGAAATCCTTGCCCTTGCCCTTGAATTTGCCTTTTTTCCCTTTGCCCTTCCCTTTGCCTCTCTCCATGCCATGGGTGCGCCTCAATAGCTTCTCAAGCATACTCACTTTCGGAGGATCTGGAAGCGCGCCAGACAGCCGCCTCTTCTCCTCCAACTCCATCTTTTTCTGCAAATTGTTTTTGCTGGGGTAATTCGTCTTCCGCATAGCTCTCCAGGCTGCCAGCTCTTCGGGTGAATCTGTCACGTTGGAACCATCTGCCGCCTTCACGTGCTTGAGCTTGTGCACCACCATGACATGCTCAGGCCCAGAAAAATTGCAGCCCTCCTCTGGGCATGGTATATGCTCATCAGCTACGTGGCTGTCGTACTTTTCCTGGCTCCAGAAGTCTTTGTTGCAAACATGACAAAACCACTGGCTTGGGAAAAAAGCTGCTCTTTTCCGGGTCATGTGCCTGAATCCTCCCTTGCCAACCCAGTCTTGTGGGACTTGCGGAGGTGGTGGCAAAGAAGGCACGCCAGGGGGTGGGGGTATGTCCATAAACGGCTGCTCACCTGCTTCCTCCGATTCTTCCGAACTGCGCGAGCAAGCGTCGAATCTACCAGAATATCGATGGTCTGCAAACTCCACTCGGTCCGGGTCCACATCCCAAGGATCATAGCGCGAGTCATGTTCATCTCCATATTCAGAATGCCAACTGTCCCACGCATCAAGCCTAGGCGCTGGCGGTGCTGGCGGAGATGATGGCCTTTGCGGCTTACTGGACTCGGGCACTGGCGGGGGTTCTGGAAGGTAGCGTCTGGTTGTGCCTCCTCTGCCAGAAGAGTCTTCATACCAGCGTCTTCCATTTGAGGGGACAGGCGGTGGGGCAGGAGGAGGATATGAATCGTGAGCTTGCCGTTCCCTGCTGTCACTTCGAGAACGCCAGGCTCGATGTGAGTTCCTGGTTGGCGTGCTTGAGAAGCTTGGAGGGGGAGGTGGAGGTGGAGCAGGTGGAGCAGGTGGAGCCAACACAGGGGCACGTGGGGCTCGGATTGGTGTTGAAGGCAAAGAGGGTGGAACCGGTGGGGCTGGGGGAGGCTCTGGCAGCCTGTTGGACACTGCAGGACTCGGCTTCAGAATTTGGGTTGCGTTTCGGGATTCTGATGGGTGACTGCTCTGACTTCTGGAAGGGCCCCTGGAGCTGACGCGTGCATCCTTCCTGGGTCGTTCTGGTACAGGACTGTCAAAACCAGCTTCGGCTAAAAACTCCCTGACCCTGTCTAGGGTTGAGGAGTTTGCAGCAGACGGTCTTGGAGTCTTGTGTGACGAGTTTACGCTGCTGCTGTGGCGAGTCCTATCCTGTTGTCTTTGGGACCCATAACTGGCCTGCACAGGCGGCGGAGGGGGAAGCAAGGTGTCCCCTCGATATACGGGCCGCCGTCTTCCCTGCGGTGAACGACTGCGCCGCGGCTGCATCCAAGGCCGACACCTATGAACACCACCCCATGTCTCAAGCCTCAAGATAAGAAAGATATGTCTACTTCAGCATCACTGAACCACTGAAGGGAAAAATACGGGCACTATCTCGGAAGAGCTTCTTGGTGCGTAGAGTGCAGGCTTTCACAAAATTTGCCCAGGGCGCCGCTGCACGTGTCACACAACTGAAGACCCGATGGGTCAGAAATATTGCTCAGCTGATTCTCTGGTTCCTTTGTTGCAAGACTACCTGTTTCTGCTTGATCAACTGCGCAGCTGCAGCATTGTGTGAGCGATGCATTCTTGCTTTTAGATGCACCTGTAGACTTGATTAAGCCTTTTTGGCAGCCTGCCTTCAAAACAACTTGTCAGAACCATCAACTAGGCAAGCAAGCTCGTAGCCTCTGAAACGCCGGATCGCTTTACCACGACCGGCGCCACATGCAACAACAGGCCTCTACATTCTGCAAAGGCCCATGCTCGACTATACATGAAAACTGAGCGACCGCTTTACACATCGACTTTGGACGGGCGATTGTGCTACAGGCGTTTACTGTTTTCCCAATTTAGGTAAACAGCACCGTGAAAATGAAGCTGCGCACGGAGACGAATTATGCCTAGCAGCATGGCCAAAGGCAAAAAAGCTAAGGAGATGGCACGTGGGCTTGACCTTCCAAACAAGGTCTCCTCAAAATCACCATCCCGGCATATCCCAGCCACAAAGGACAGCTGGTATAGCTTGCACGTAGCAATGGAAGTTGGGGGCCCTGCTGCTGCTCAATGCCAGTTTGGCTTGTGCCGGCCAATTTCGCACGCAAGCGTTCACTAAGTTTGAATGGATTCAAGGTCTGCTGTATGGGCATGATAATTGACTATGCGCTTGATGCGCGTGCATCCAGGAAGGAGGGCCTGGTCTAGGTACACTTTCAACTTCATGTCACAAAGCCCATCTGCTTTGTGAACACTAGAACTGGCACGGTATGGCACGGTCTTGCAGGTGCTGTGAAGGTTTCGCTGGGTGACATCACAGCTTGACGCTTACGCTTCATTGCAGGAACTGTGAGCTGCCTCGCTCAGAGTCTCTGACCATGAGGGCCTGGAGCAACCTGACTGTCTGCCATCTTCTGTGCAGTGACTAGCTTTTGCAATGGCTCTCTGCTGTCTGCGGCATCTTGGGGTAGCTGCTCTTCACGGCACAGATGCAAAACCCGCAGTTTTCGATTCTGAGCTTACAAGAGAATCCTGCAAGGATGTGTGCACAGAGCCTGTGAATGTACATGTTGTGGGAATGCTTTTGTATCTGTGTAAGGTCATGAAATTTTGACACAGCGCTGAGGACGTGGCTCAAAGTACGAAAAACTTCCATCTTCTTCGCCGAGCGATTCCTGAACGGTAGCCAGGAAGTGCTCGGCAGGTCAGCTCCAACTGCACAGCTCGCATGTTGCCATGTAATGGCGTTCACTGCTTCAGCACCATGACTTTTTCACAGGATCTGCTGCTTTGGCTGCAAACGATCACAGGATGCAAAAGCATTGCAAAGAAGCACTCTGCCATATTCTGAATCATGATAGGCTTCTGCGAGGCCATCGATCTGAACGTCGCTGAAGGTTCGTCGTGTCTTTGCCAAGGAGATGTCAATCCCCCTGAGCACCTGCATGCAAGTCTGAGCTCAGATGTCTAACCCTAGGCAACAATCGTGTCTTCTAGTTTCGCCGCCGCTGACGTTGCAGAGTTTCACGCCCTGTAAATGCGGTAGACTTGGCGTACAGGCTCGGGACACGAAATGATCCTGGTCGCAATGCAATACAGCTCCTCAGCCCAGCCAGCGTTTTGACTTCTGGATCTACTCTGGCGGCCCCACACTTGGGAACAGCATCAATATCCATTCAGTTTGATTATAGGAGAGTCTAACCATGCTGGGTGTAGACCTGCACACCTTTGCCAACATAACAGCGGCCCACAGAGCAATACCTGTTCCACAATTTGGACCTCCTTCAGCAGAGCCATGTGCCCTATTCTCGGGAATGACCTACGTACAAGTAATGCATAGGTTCAGGTCACATATTAAGCGGATGAAGCTCCCGTGGCGTGTCAGGCGGGAAAACTCATGGGTTTCTCTTGCGCGAAGCACGGAGTTTGTGTGCATGATCATCTGCGAAAGGTTTGCCAACTTTGCCTCTTGACATCCTTAGGAATAATTGATACTATCCTTCCAGCAGCTGCCAGCTGACCAGAACTTGAAACAGCTCCACGGACTGCGCCTCTGCAAACGCACCGGAGCTTATTCGGCCCGTGAGTGCTGCATCTGCCTAAGTCTTGCATGTGCCAGCACCGAAAACATGTTTTGAGGCTCTGCTTAGGCTCTGCTATGCTCGTCACATCAGCTTGCAGTTCAAGCTCACGCGCGGCTGCGAAGTTGGTCTTTGATCTGGTGCAAGCTGCCGTGTTCCTTACGTATCAAGCCCTTAGGCCTCACCAGCCCAGCCCACCTCAACTTGAGCAGGTTCGTGCTATGTTTCCCGGGCATGATTGGAGCTCGCTGTTTTGGATCTAAGGATGTGTAATCAGGGACAAGTTCTCACGTTGACTCTCTCATCCCTTTAACCCCTCAACTCTCTGCGTGAAGCAGAGAACTCAAAAGTGGCTGGGCTGGTGTCATGCCGCGGGCCTTGGCCCGCGCCTCGCTGCCCCTCGAGCCCCCCCACGACCGCGCAGCGCGAAGGGAAGGCTCTTTTCGATCACATGACGTGCTTGAGGAGTCCATCGCCTCATCCTTGACAGGGGAGCAAGGAGGGGCAGCGCTTTTGAAGTTCTTGACAATGTGCTGGACATACGTCCTGTTGCACCTGTGCATCAGCAAACAAAGACTCGGTATTGTTTGTTCAAATGCGCTCAAGAAGAGGCACCCCACGAAACCTTCATGCTTTCCTTGGGTATGCCTCAAGCCAAAGCTTCCACCTTGCCTTGTTTGCACAGTTAGTTGCAGGTGTTCTGAGCGCTGCTGGTTCTGCGGCACGTCCGGACTGCAAAAACACATTCATGTTGAGCTGATGTTGTGCAGGTACGAACAGGTGCATGAACTGGCAGTGACTTGCTTGTTCTACTGCAAGATCTGGTTCACAAGCACGCATGCTTGCTGAGGCTCATGCCTCATGGCAACCGCAGCAGACGGCATGCCTGTGTCGGTACCTGGTCGAACAAAACTTTTGTCCAGTCCCGGACAGCAGCTGCTCAGCAGGTGAATGTGCGCAAAAAACTCTCGTGCAACACGAAGCCTTGGAATGCCCTGGAGCCAATCAGCAAGAGTAGAACTAACCGGCGCACAAAAAGCTGAGGATGTGTTCACACATGAACTCCTCTGCTGCGTCAAAGTCCTGACAGCCCACAGTTTAGTCGGTTGTGTTGCCTGAAACCACTAGTTGACCATAACCCAACGGCAAGCTTCAAGATCAATTAGCTCCAAGGATAATGCACAACACACGCCGTCTGGCTTTGATCGGCTACGACCCAACAAAGGCAAATTGACTTTAGCATTTGGTAAGTGAAGAGCTGTGGAGTTATCACATCTTTTGAATTGTTCTGGCATCAGCCAGCTGCTATGGGATTACCACCGGGACAGCGCCCTAATGTTTTCTGCGTGCGTTCCATTCATCAACCCTACGTGAAAAGACGGCCATTGTCTTTATAGTTCACATCTTGAATCACCTGCAACATCACAATGCGTATCGCGCGTGTGCGCGTGCTAAATGCTAAGGGAACGTAACAGCAACCTTTGCCTGGCCAGCCGGCCGCTCCACGATAAATGCCTTGCTGAACTGGACACAGAAAACTCTGACTGCTCATATTGTCCTGTCAGTTGTTGCGGTCTATGACATGCGCAATGCTAGGGTTTTTGGTTCGTTCAGCGCTGCAGAAAAGACATCATCATGTAAACAAACGAATTCCTTGCTGCTGTCTGACACCACATTTGGGACTGCAACAGTCTCAAGACAAATTTGCAAGGCCAGAATCAAGCCTCGAGGAAGCTGAACAAATTGACCTCCAGGCATGAGCAAGCATTTGCAACACGGATGTAGCGTCGGATGAAGAAAACCTCAGCAGACTTGAGCTTTCATTGCCTGTATCGCATGCTCCGCATGCAGCTCCAAGCATAATCACACCCTAAAGCCCTTTAGGCCCTTCTTTCGTTGCTTCGCTGCTGCTGACCCAGTGCATTCGAAGGTGGCTGGGATGAAGAGACTTGGCATTTTGGCCTTTCCAGTCTCACGGCCGCTGAGCTGGTCCAGCTGCAGCGCCAATTCTTCCAAGTCTGCGTCGCCTGAAGAGCAGGCTTGCGTTGTCTTCGAACCCTGTGTGCAAGTTCAACAGATGCATTTCCGCAGCGCCTATGGGGTGACCCTTGTGCATCACGTCCTCGATCCCCTCCAATCCTGAGATAACTCTAATCCATGTTGAGTCACGAAGCAAATCAGGTTCTTGCTGCTCGCATTGGCTGCATGATGCTTTCCAGTGACCCTTGAGATAGTCCACAAGCTCGCTCCGGGTCAGCAATCCATCCCCGGACTCGTCACCTTTCTCAAATTGGTGGGCCCTTGGTCAGCGGAGCAGGCTGCAGAAACAATGTGAATGAGTATGTGCATGCCAAGAACTTTTCTGCAAGCAGGCTGCAGTCGCTGTACTTGAAAAACAGTCTTGCGCGAGTGTATGCTGGCGCCAGTCTTTACCTTTGCTGGGTTTATGCATGGAAGATTGCCCTCAACAAGTCTGAAATGCGGAGCTGACATTTTTCCCGAATTCTCTCTTAAGCCGTGAGAAACGAGCCTGTTTCCTTCGCTTTTCTTCTGCCAGGGGCAGTGCTTGCCTTGCTTCTCGCCATGGAGTCTCTCATGCTAACTGCTGGAAGCAAAGCCATGCCTGCACGCCGTTTCCCCAACGAAGTTTTGCCTCTTTTCGAGTGTGTGCGTCTGTCCGACACCAAGTTCTGCCACAATCGTTTGCCGTCTGCCGAACTAGCTGTAGACTGTAGCTGTGACTTAATTTACAGTTCATGTACATGCCGTCGGGACAGTCAGCAGCAGCAGCGACAGCAGCATTAGCAGCACACTCAGTCTGCGGGCGGCTGCGCTGCAGAGTCCGCTTCATTCCTCTGAACCCTGACTCAACCATGGCGTGCCCCGGACGGACCCAGCTAGTCAACCATCAGATCCGGAAGCCACCCGATCTTGCGACAAGGCCGCTCGCGTGATGCCTGGCTGGTTGGACATACGATCCTTCTTCAGCAGCAAGTGACCGATGTGGTTGAGCGAATCCCGCCATTCGGCCAAGGGATCGTCACCTGCCCAGCCCACTGACCCACTGAGATAAGAGATCTACTGACAGCAGTGCTGATGCCAATGGTACAGAATGGCCTGTCATGGCTTTTGCCTGCCGATAGATGACCTCATGTTTCAGGTTCAAGGCAGCGGCAGCAGCATTGACCCCCCTTCCCCACAAATTCCTCGCAATTCAAATTTACTCCAAATTGCTGTGAACCGTTCGAAGAACTCGTGCACGCTCAGTTCCGGTGGAGCATCGTCATCTGACATGCATGCGGCAAAGTGAGCGTTAAATTACTTAGGAACCATGCGTAGCTCAGCGATCATGATAGTAACCCAATGATATGCATCATAACATGTGCCTGCTTCCTTGCTGAGATGCTGGAGAGCTTGGACCCCACAATGCAGACACAAAGTGACTGCTGCAAGTACGGTGAATGGCTCCTGACTCTGACCTGGGAACTTCCTCAATCCTCAAAGTAAGTCGAGATGACCCAATCAAGACATTCTGACTCGGACTTGGGTGCCTTCATCTTCGGCCGGAAATAGCCCATGCGCAAGTGACTGCAGCTGAGACGTGCTGAGCACATGGGATGTCCGCTGCCCAGGGCTGTCGTCCTCGGAACTCATTCTTAGTTATACATGAAACAACAGGTCAAACAAATGTCCAGCTCCTAGCTTCGGGCCAGGGTAGCCAGAAATCTGAGAGCTGTTTCGGCGATTTGTGCAGCACAAGCTTTTGTGCAGTTGTTTGTAACCAGTCAAGCTACACGGTGAATTCTGCCAGGGCTCAACTTCTACTTCGCTTTGCAAGACTTTCCTGAGCTGGCTCGATATGGCAATGCAAGTGCAAAAGCTCAATGACTTGCACAGGCGCACTGCCCACGTTTGAGCACCATTTTCTGCAGAAGCACTGTCATGGTGGCAAGCCAAACGTAAAGAAACGAAATTCTTCGTGACTCAAGGGGAAGTGTGCAAGGTTGGACTGGCTTCCGAAAGTTCAGTCAGGTGGCAAGAAGTTTTGCATGCTGACCTTACCAGTATGATCTGGATCAAAAAGCGCCAACGTTGCTTTCCTCGGCTGGGCCGACTGATTCCTACCGCGCTCTTTGAAACAAAGCGCAACTGACTTCAGCTGTCAGCGTGCTGCGATGTTGTCTCAAGGACTATTGAGGTCTTACTTGATGATGCTTTCAGGTGTAGCAAGCCATTGTGGATGATCAGGGCACCAGCTCTACCACTCATGCCTGCATGATTAACAGGAGAAGCATCAAATCGGCATCTCGACCTTTGACACATCGGGCAATGGTTCCGCGCAAACGGCACGCAGGCACACTGTCAGCGGACACACTTTCATGACAAACTGTCAGACTTGGCGTCCGGCAGTACAAAGCCTCGTAAGCGTCCTTCATGAGGATCGTCTTCCAGCCTACCTGAGATGCAACAAAACAGCAAGTGGCGCAAATGCTGGGGCAGAACGCGTCAGATGCATTTTGACCAGCGGCCCATTTCTCCTTGTTCACACCTACATCAAACCGATGCAGAAAGCGTCGGTAGTCGACCAGTCGTTTTCCTGCAAGTGCTGCACCGCTGCTGGCTGTTGCAGGGATATGCTGATATATGCTGACATAATCTGATATCCGCCGACCCAGCCGGGGCGGCGTCAGTGAAGATTTTATTGTTTTCCGGCTCCAATGCATGTCCAAACCCCGCCAGCCTTCCCGTTGCCCCAGCTGTCTCGCCTCCTCTGTCCTCATCATTGCCCCCTGTGCCCATGTGCCGTCCTTGCCCCCCTTGCTTCTTGCCGTAGCCTAGCCCCTAGCCTAGGGGCTAGAGATACATGTAAGGGGCTCCAATGAGGGGCTCCAATGTTTTCTGCCACAGTAAATGTAATTTTAATGCCAATGCATGCCCAAACCCCCGGCCCTCGTTCTCCTCGCCCCCCCCGCCCCCCTTGCCCCAAGGCTAGAGATAAATGTAAGGGGCTCCAATAAGGGGCTAATGTTTTCTGCCACAGTAAATGTAATTTTAATGGACCCCCGCCTCTGCCCCCGTTGCCCTCGTTCCCCTCCCCCCCCCGCCCCCCTTGCCCCCCTTGCCCTTCTTGCCGTAGCCTAGCCCCTAGCCTAGGGGCTAGAGATAAATGTAAGGGGCTCCAATAAGGGGCTCCAATGTTTTCTGCCACAGTAAATGTACAAAGCCTACATACTGCTTGCGCGAAGAGCGTGCAAGTAACCCTGTACCCGCTTGAGATGCTTCTACCCTGATGAAGGGTGTTGGGTTTGAAGTTTACGGGGCGACAGTGTGTGACTAAAAGGACCGTCGCATTCCTGCGACACTCTGCGGGCTTGCCTGATTCTTGCCAAACCTGGGTCCCTTTGAACGGGATTGTGCGGGTAATATAATCGCTCTTTTGGGGCCGGCGAGCTATAAATGGTACCTCGGGCTGTCAGATGCGCTGCCACTTTGATCTAAAACGCTACACCTACGCCCTGACGCCCACCCCCTTCTTGAACCTCGCGAACCGCGTGACATCGCGCCTGCGAGGCTAGTCCGCAAACGCTGCGACGTTGACGTTGCAGCCCGGGCATGGTGTACCGTGGCACAGGAGATCTATGGACCCCATGTCATACTCGAGAGATCAGGCCGACTTGATAAATCGGTGAGTATGGGGGATACCTACAGTTGCTGTGTGGGGTATAAAGGTTGTTGCCCTACTTAGTAAATGCCGCTGACCCTCCAAGTAGCGGCAAACATTACTTTTGAAAAGACCTCAATCTTGCTGCTGCCATCTTCAGGCGGAGCAAGGCCCCTGGGCCCCTCGAAAGGAAAATGGAACAAAATTATAATGCCTAATATGGAAACAACCACACGCGCCAATGCCACGGCACATTGGGGTCGGCGGCATTGGCGGCAGCCATTAAATCGGGCAACGCCCTCGG